AGATAGGAGAGAGAGAGAGAGAGAGGAGAAGAGGAGAGAGGAGAGAGAGAGAGAGAGAGGAGAGAGAGAGAGAGAGAGAGAGAGAGAGAGAGAGAGAGAGACTTATTAATTTTTATACACATTTTGTACACCTATTTGAATAATGAGGCCTTTTTTAAATCTTATAAATAGTCCGATGTTCGAAATCTTAACGTTTTCATGACAATGAGCCTACAGTTAAAGTTAACATTTATCGCATACCCCATCAAGTCATTAACGCTCAGTCATATGATCAACTCATTAGATTGGCTTGATGCTACCTTTTAGATTTGAAGTCTTTGACGTTTGAAGGCACTTTGACGTTACCTACGTTACATTTGCACTTTAGACTGAGAAGTTACATTTTCCGCCGGATTCGAATTCCATTTAAAAATGCGACCTTTTCGGAATTTCCCAGCAATTGTTGAATGTCGCAAAACATTCCACAAAAAATGAGAGAAACTAACCTTTTCGGTCCTCTTGGCCTGACAGACTGAAAGAAAAGGTATGTCATGTCCTTATATGAACAGTGTTTAGTCTATGAAATATATATATAACGCTGTAGCATGTGTAAATAGTTTGCTATTGTAACGCAGGCGTTACATTTTAGCATATTTTCCAACATTCTCTCATGGCGACGACGGCGTGTGCACCGGGGTTTGGGCGCCGGCGCTGGCGTCACCGCACCGCCGCGCCGGCAAACAGCCCCGGGCCACGCCGGACCAAAAGGGTACGGCCGGGGCGAGAGGGGACCCGGCCGTCAAAACAACCCGGGCGCAGAGGCGGCGGCAGGAGGAGAAGGAGGAGACAGCAGGAGAACCAGGACGAACACCAGTACCTGAGGACGCCTCTGCCAGCCATGAGGCAGCTGCACTGGGGAGCCGAGGGAGAAGGAGGCCAGGGGGAGAGAAGAGGACAGTCGGGAGTTGGAGTCTGGCTGGAGAGTTGACCATCGACGGCAGGAGGCCGGCCGGGCCGGACGGCCCGTGTGGCCGGACGGCCCTGCAATACAGGAGGACAGTCAGGGTTGAGGATTCAGCAGAGACGGGCCAAGGCGTCGGCTGGGCCCGGGCGGCCCTAACCGGCCGCACGGCCCGTCGGCCGGACGGCGCTACAGCACAGTTCTACCCGGGGACGAGTCAGAACAGCGGCTAGAGGAGGACCGAGCGGCGACAGCAGGACCCGATGGCCGGCAACCTTGAGTCACCAACAGCTTCAGCAGCCAACATCAGCCGGCTAGCTGCAACCTCACCATCAGATCAAGGTTTGGACAGGATCTGGTCGGGCGCTGGGCTGCTAACCTTTCTGTCCTTTTGCCCAGTTCCGACCCACTGATGTTTCTCTCAAAAAAAAGGTTCCTTCTAATAATTGGTCTGGGCACAGTTAGGGGATTTATTTAGGATGTTTAAAATGTTAAACAAAAAGGGGGGTGTATTCAACGGAAGCTGCGCTATCTGCTGTCTGATTCTGTAAATTGTCGACCACAATAATTTTCATAAATGCTTATAATTGGGTAGCCACTAGCCATGTTTGGATATTGTGAATCATGAAGGAAAGGTTGGCAATTTAATCGGCGAAACTGTCTGGCTTTTCGCGCTGAACATATCTTTTAACGACAAGCTGTCCTAGTTATCGCGTAGGAATTACATTTATTAAACTTTGGTCTGTCCTGGTTTCTTTCAATTGTAAATACATAGCGTAGTAAAATGTAAACACATTTTGATGAGGATGTGTTGATGATGGATCAATATGACGAGAAACCCAGGAATGTCACGGGGAAGCCGCGAGCGCGACAGCGAAACACGAATCTGACACTGCGTATTTAGGTGGCATCTCTTTGCACTGTTTTATTAAACGCTTTTTTTCCCAGAATCATTTGTTAGGAGATAATGTTTTCGCTACCTTTGGTATACATTGACGACGATATTCATTAGGAACTTCCAGCAGTTGATCGAGTTATTCCCGGCAAACATTAGAGAGCGACACCAATTCATCAGCTCTTTGTAGGCCTGAGCTATTGGTTCATTTCTTATCCTTAGCAACCGACTATAGAATTGGGCACGCAGGCTGATAAATTCATGATTTGGTCCTTGTTAATGAACGGTTGCTGGTTAATTTAACGCATCCATTGTGATTATTCTTCGTTTCCGAAAGCATAAATATGTTTTGTTGTTGTTCTTCTTCTTTAGCTTAATGTCAATCGCTGGTGTCATTTTGTATCTAGAAATAACCAGAATTTGAATGAAATGGAAAACGACGCTTGTCTGTTATAATGAACATCGGTACTTTTCTCTCGCAGGAATATAAATGTTAAATTATTTACTTCGGCTAGCATGCATCTAACATTTATCGTGTTGCTGTTCTTGCATACGATTTAAATCATCTTTTCACGCCACGAACGATTATGACGTATGACTTAATTAGGTCACTGATAGCAATTGCGATCACCAACAGCCGACAAAGGATAGTGCTCTTCACTGACAAGTAATGGGCTCCAGCGCCCCAGTGACCGTCTCTCGCTCGGCGGCCGCGCTGCCGGTCCCATGTTTTGACGGCCAGCCGCCGCGCCGATTCACCCCTCGGAATGCGTAGTGGGGGAAGCACACGCAGGGGGGAGGGGGCGCTCCGGCCAGGCGGCGGCGCACAGACGCCGGCCGGCCCGCTCGGCGCGGGGGCGCCCGCAAATGGCGGCCGGCGCGGTGTGAAGGGAGTGCGGGCCGCTGGACACCGAGCCGGATTGATGACGTCACCACCCTGACTACGGGTGGATTCATGTAGGATACAGAGTAGCGAAACGGGTTCCGATGTAGCATTTTACGTACGATCAACACATTGAAAACAATATTATATTTGTGGTCAATTAGCTTACCCTATCGTAATGAACCAATTTTATCCAACGTCATGAGTAATTAGTAAGAACAAGTTTGATCAAATTTAAAGTGAAATTATAAATTTGGTTGGAAAGGTTAATAATTATCTTATCCCTTAAATTTGTTAGCAGTTAATCAGTGACGTTTGGTCATGTTGCAAATAAACACGGCGATTTATGTATAAACCGGTCCGTCGCGTCGGTCAATCGGTATGAAGCCCTATTGGTGTATGATCTGTTGGGTGCTGGTCTACTAGCTATAATTCTCTCTTTCTTTCTCTTTCTTTCTCTTTCTCTCTCTCTCTCTCTCTCTCTCTCTCTCCCTCTCTCTCTCTCTCTCTCCCTCTCTCTTTCTCTCTCTCTCGCTCTCTCCCTCTCTCTCTCTCTCTCTCCCTCTCTCTCTCTCTCTTTCACTTCTCAGCACCGATAACAACGAGCGATCGGAAGAAGATATTTATAGCTACCAAGCGGAGGTGCGCCCATGAACTGGGGTCAGCGGACAGTGTCGCGGGCCGGTGGACAGTCTCGGAGGCCGCCGGCAGCAGCCGGACCTGGCTCACTAATGGTTCGCTGGTACCCCTCGCGCCGTCAACAAAAGGGAGAGACGGGGTCGGGCTGATTCCGGCTCCGAGTGAGCGGCGGTAGGTCGGAATTGGATTATTATGAATACTGCGCATGCTACACCGACGCTACCGTGCGGCACCTTATGGTGGAAAGTGGATGACGTCACGCAATAAGGTGTTATCTAGATGGGAGAGAGTGACAGAGTAAATTGAAAGGCTAGTTTAAAATTAATAATTTAGCGTTAATATGTACAACGATATCTGTTCGATGGTGAATATTAAATGAAAATTTAAATTTTAATTATTAACCAATTCGCACCTATGCATTTTAAATCTTCATTATATTTCGTACTCGTGGTCAAATGCTAGCTTGATTTCAGTCTGTGAGCCGTAAGGATAATGGGACCCCACATTTTCCCAATGAGACTAGAATACCCGACTTTGACTCAGACAGCGAGGCCGTAAGTCTATGCATGTCGCTCCCCTGTGAGTGATATGCCTGCCAACGCGACTCTCGCACTTACTTAGGTATTGGGAACAGGGCATGGGTTGCAGTCGCCTACTGATAATTTTTTTTATGGGAATGAAACATTGTTAACTAAAATATTTGCCTTATTTTGTTGGGTTACCTTATTTGAAGTCGGTCGTGCTAATTGTGGGTTTCTGATTGAATGACGGGCTGGTGAGATAATTGCCCTTATTATCAGTTTGTTCCTTGAAGGCGTACACGGTTCTAGCGAATGTCCAAGCAATAGGATTAAGGAAGGGATGAGAAGCCAATGAAAGGGGAGGGACAGGTTTGCCACCTGAAATATTTTTACGATGCATGGAAGAATGAATGAGTGACCGTGTGAATGAAGAATTAATGGTGAGAGCGTGAATGAGTTATATCCAGTGGGAGGAGGCACCCTCAACTCAGGGGATAACTTAAGAACAATAATCGCACAATTGTGAGATTTCGCTGGAACATTGATTGATAGACATTTTTGAGATTTCGTTAGAATATAACAGAAGGGAGCGTAGGCAGAGAGAAACATCAGGCAACCTTTTAATATCCCACCGTGAATGCCCACCAACCCTGTGACCCATGCCGCTGCAGTACTGTGTGTAGCAGTCTATGTGCCCGCCAGTGAATGACCAGCCTCGCACACACACTGATCAGTAGCCCAACACCCCGCTACACAAATTGGCGCCCAACGTGGGGGGTGGCCATATCCTGGGGGCATGAAGTTGGCAGGCTGGCATGCATAGCCGAACCGATGAAGTCGTGTCGTAGAAAATCACCGGAGAAGAGTTCCAGAGGAGTTTCAGGCATGACATGTGTGTATCCCGCGGCATGCGGATGCTCACAGCTCTTTCAGGTCTGAAGATGTTGAAGGATCGAACATTTGTTGTCCAGGAAGATGTTGAAAACCTTAAAATTAGAAAAAGTGACATTTTGCAACGACATGAGAATCGATGGTGGCTGCTTTTGCTCGTGAATGTAGTACATAGATATGTGGTATGGACTGCTACTGGACGTCTGAAGATGTTGACGGATTAAGCATGTGTCCAGGAAACTGTTGAAAACTTACATGAATTGTTTAAAGGCACTTTTACAGCGGTGTCAGAATGGAGGTCGGCTGGCTTAGGTGATTGAAGTATCGGATCTATTCTGTTGATGGCCGGCTGAGATTGTTGAGACGACTTGCAATTTACTTTTTATAAATGAATTTTTGAACGAGGCTAGATGCACCGTCAAAGAAGAGCAGGAGAAACGCAAGAACTCGAGGAAGAAGGAAGAAATTGTTGAAACCACTACCTGGGTGTGACGGAGATGCATTGAAGACGCGGAACGACCTCAGGCTGTCGGAGACGGGTCGCTGGTCAATTCAGTGGCCCGCTGACGTTGGCCACGGAGCCGAAGCTGACATGGTTCGGCTCTGACAACGGGAGACCCGTCGGACTACATCACCTCAAACCAATACTGGAAGGAGGTCGGAGGAAGGAGAAAACACAAGACGAGATCAAAAGGGGGAAGGTAACGCAGCAGAGCGACGTCGAAGAGCTGGACCGTCATCG